AATAATCTGTTTAGTACTGAGACTTCACATAAACACCAGCTCTGCTTTCGTGTTGCTTAGCCTTCTTCTGATTTTTCCAAGGAGCCAGTCAGCAGTCCATTTGATTCTCAACCATTCTGTTGGTCTTTTGTTCTTCTGTACAGTATGTACATTAGTTTAAAGAAAACTTCACAGTATGTTAGTGACCGTACAAAAGCTTGCAGCTGTCCCTCCCACACACTGAGAAAACATCATACCAACCATCACAGCACAAACCGCCCTCATAGGTGCTTTGTGCTAAATTTATGTACAGTACATGCACATCACTGCACAAACGGACTGGAGGCTGCGCTCAGTTTAGCACCAAGCTTTTAAATCCCTAATCCTTTCTCATATTTCCAACTGGATGGCTTTCTTCCTCATTTTGTTCTTGTGCGTGAGTCTCTTTTTTTCCCTGCTGAATACTATTAACTTTGTTGCAAACAGATTAAATAAATGAAATAAAATTATGCTTTATGTGATTTTTCATTTTATCTTATCAGGAGGAGGAAATGGATCGCTAGTGACCATGTTAGATGACTGAAAACAAACACTCACTCATTTACACACACACACACACACACACACACACACACACACACACACACACACACACACACACATACCTGCATTAACAATGGCATCAATCTCCAGCTTGGTGATGTCACCGGTGTAGACAGAAATCTTCTGGTCCAACTTTTCATTCCTCTGATATTGGCTTGGCTCAGAACCACCTGATAATGAGAGACACACACAAATCTTGTTCCTTTGTGGTGTTGTTTATATATTTTTTTTGTTTTCGTTTTTTTAAATCCCTTAAAATATAAGCGCAGGAATTTCAGGAAGCGCACCGAAAATGACAGCACTTAACATTGTTGCTCACATTGAGAGGAAAAAAAATGTCACAGTGCTCATAAATGTCAAAACAAACGTGTTCTAACATTGTAACATTGTGTTATTAGCGGCTTCGTAACGCAGATCTGTGCCTGCACGGTTTGTGTGCCACTGGTCTCGATCAGCAGTTGCTCTCCTAAAATGGACATCACCACACACACACACACACACACACACACACACACACACACACACACACACACACAAAGTTGTCCAGATCTTTTCCACACACAACAGCGACACAGTCACCCTCACAGTGTCTCTTACATGCACGCACACTTTCTTGCTAATTTCTCTTTTGACCAGTGAACTTTCAGTGGCTTTCTTTCTTTCTTTCTTTCTTTCTTTCACACAAACACACACACACACACACAGTACAGTACAGTACAGTACAATCAGCTCATCTCAAGGTATATGTCTTGTTGTTTTTTTATTCCTATTAACATAATACAACAGTAAATATTCTTACATTAGTAGCATCTAAAGATTTATGGTTGAAAATATAGAAAAAATGTTCTTGGTTTATGGGTGAGCAGTGTTAAAAAGAACATGTAATAGCAAAATTTAGCCAAACTAACATTCACATAATAATAGCTGTCATCACAGCAGTTTGGGTGACAATATTATGATACTTCTACTAGTGAAAAGAATTTACGCTGCATGACTGGTCTAGTCTAGACATCCATTTCAAACGGGATTCAACACCAGGTTTATAGATCCAAGTATAAATCTGAGATGTAAACTTATTATCTTTGTTCACTGTTTTGAAGAGGGAATGGCCGCAGACTGAGCTCCAATGATTTTATTTTATCACTGGTATGTTGCTCTTTTTTCAAGAAATTTTTGTTCACCAGCAATGTTTGCAACCCTGACTGCAGAAATTAGTAGAAAGACTAAAGAAATTGATAAAGTCAATATTATTTCACAGCTGATTCCAGTATAAAATGTAGTGCATCAGAAACTTACATACAGTATATGCAATTAAAGTTCTTTGATGCAATGTGGCCAAATGCCTGATAACACTAGTATACATGTCTTCACATCCCTAGCGGAAAGTCTCACCACCACAACCAACCAACCCTGAATGAACTTGACAGTGACTTTGACTGATGTTGGGTGTCTGACCTGCAGTGGGAGTCCACACCGGGATGTTGTCTAGTGAAACAAAGTCAGATGTCCTGTAGTACTGACGCCTGTCTTTCACTGACAGAGACAGCAAGAAGTCTGAGGGAGACAATGGAGAAAGAGACCAGACAGTAAATAATGTGTCAGATGTAAATTAGATATTTTGTTAAATATTTATTTGCGATAAAGAACAGAGAAATATGGTACTTATTGCATACCAGACTAAAGAAAAGCCTAAGAAAGAATAGGACAAAAAAACTCATGCATCAACATCTAATCATCAGCGAAATCCCAACAAAGTGCAGTGTAATGTGAGATTCAAGTACCTCAAAAGTATTCGTATTCCAGTTTGTTCAAGTACAGATTTATCTTATGAAGATAGCAAAATACTAAAAGTGATAAGCTTCTGTATATCATATCACTGAATAAATTGTTTGATTTCTCCATTTCATATTTTTTCTTCATAAGCTTATATGTAATATCAAAAATATGATTCAGGGCCAAAGTGGTGATGAATATAAATTAAAATGATAAATTAATTACTTAGTCCAGTGACTATGATTTCTGAATACTGCATAACTCATTTAAGTTAAAACTTTAGTTTTTCAAAGTCAATAAATTGCTTGCTTTTCTTCATTTTGTATTATTCTTAAAATAATATCTATTGGTTTTCAATAGTCAATAATCAATTAAAATGATCATTAGTTGCATTCACTGACATTGACTTACATTGTGTTTAACATATATTGTGTATATTGTTTTTTGGCAAACTAGCTCTACTTTGATATTGGAGACAAAATATCAATAGTAATTTTACTTTTTCGTGTCTCATGTTTGTGTGTACTGACCTCTGAGATGTGATAATTTTTTGTATTATCATCATCCATTTTAAAAGCATGGATTGCTAGCTTAAGTCTTGTGACAACTGACAGGTAACTAGGGCTACATAAACCAGTGACAGCTGGACAGGTGTTTTGCTCATGTGACAACACTGCACCTTGCACGTGAGTAGTAAGTTAACATAAAACCAGAAACTTCGCGAGTTTGCTTGCAGTCTCACCCTTGGTCTCCTTCCAGTCTCCCTTAGCGGAGTTCAGGTCAACTTTGTGGGCCATGGCGGCCAGGGTCCCGGTGTGGAGAGACTGGACAAGCGCGACTGTACTCACTCCAAGGGCTGTACCGAGGGCGATCTTGCCCAGCCAGCCTCTCCTCTCCCGGGATGAGGAGGAACCGTTCACCTGACTGTACTCCCGAAGTGCTATTGTTGTTGAAAACTTCTCGCCTCGGCGGGTAGCATTAATATGGCCGCGGAGAAGACTTGTTGCTGGCTTCCCTATCGGCCGGGGGCTTCCAGGAACTACAATGTGTTTGAACTTGACACTGGCTCTCTGGAAGTCAGCACAAACACGGGACAGAGGGCCGGTGGTGCGGGGGAGGGCTCTAACATATGAAAATAGAGCTGACATTTGTAATGCCATTACACCGGAGGGGCTAACGGTTCGTGTTACTGAAGCTTTCCAGAGATTAATGTCGGCCACACTTGTTAGATTTCGTTTTCGGTAGGAGCACACCTCACTTGATATGATGGACGTCTGACAGCGAGCGCCCGTGTACCATTTTCGTTTTGGACGTTAACGTGTGGAACGTACCATTTGGAGGGGGTGCCAGTTGCCTGTCGCTAACCGACTAACTTTAAAAAGTGTTAATGTGGTGTCTAGTGCCGGTATTTATGCGCCAATGTTATTATCAATGAAATCCGTATACGACAAATTCGACAAGCGTTGCCATTTTTTTCTACAATTTTACATTGAGCGTAAACCCTGACGGGAGAGACCAAGCCAACGACCACAAGCTTAGGCCTCCTTCAAGAACCACGCAAAAATTGAAATTACGGCGTGACCGACTAAAAAGTGATAAATACAATTCCTGTGCCGAGAAAAAAAAGTTTCTTAAACGTTATGTGAATTTGAGACATGCCTTGGAGTTTTAATTCCAAGGTAAATTACAGTATATTTCTCGTGAAGGAGGCAAGACTATTACAGGAAAATATATTTATATAATATATGTATATACTCTACAAGTTTTTAGGCATTTACACATGCTTACACAACAACACAATCTTCTTAATGGGTTGCACATATAATCTTGTCGTAGGATAGAGTTGTATAGTTGTCTCCTCATCATAGAGGATGGTTAACTGTGTTATCCTAATCAACATAGACTGTAAAAAAAAAAGGCCCCTGAATGCAACATTATTCTATAGCCGCTAATATAAATTTTGTCGCCCCCTAGTGGATTGTATAATTGAGTACCAGAAAAGTTTGTCCATGTTTGTAGTTGTTTAAAGGTAGGGTTATTTTCCCCCGAACAGTAAACTGTGATGACATCATAATAATCTGGATTTGCTACATAGAAAATGTACATGAGGCCACCTATGATTTTGAGTTTTATTTAAACTTAAGTGTTATCAGGCTATAGCAGTACATTAAACCTTTCAGTTTTAGAAGCAATTTAGCAAGTTAGTGACTCACATTTTTAAGACTTTGCCTCATCAGGCTTTACTCTTCTTTGCAATTTATACTTAAACAAAACCAACAACTGCTGTCGCTACAATGTAGAAAACCATAAAAACTATAATCAGTAATACACACCCTAAAACTACACATTGCTGATCTTGAAAAACACAATATATGATGACTAATCTGCCATGAGCTGTGTGTGTGTGCTTGCTATTTTGAAGAACAGGGAGACAAATGGAGGAGAGTGATAATGTGTTTTGTCTGCTCATTTAATATCTCTTGTCTCAGCTCCCACATATGTATGCACATGCACACACACATTGCCTCATATGAGCAACTCAAACTGCCTGTCAGTCAAAAAATTGAGTCCTTTACACATTTCCGCTTGGCGGAAACTGACAAAAAAAAAAAAAGGAACAAGCCTGTCTTGATAGAAGTGACGAAGGCAGCACTGACATTGCTGAGCAGACCACAACCCGCCCAAATCGAGAAGGGCAACTGCTGCACAAAACTTTTGCAGAAACTTCTTCAGCGATCTGACAGAGGCACACAGGTTCCCCCAATTAAATTTCTCAAAACCTTGGACAGAGGAGACTGAAGGTATTGTCTTTGAAAGTATATGTGTGTGTGTGTGTGTGTGTGTGTGTGTGTGTGTGCGTGTGTGGGGGGGGGTGGGGGGGGGGCAGAGAGAAAGTTAGGACAAGGTATGTATTTGTAAGGCTTCTGTATTAAAAATTCAGATCTGGGGTCATTTATTAGGTCACATCACTCTATAAAATATAATGTAAGAGGTTAACTGGTGACGGATCAGAGCTTACATTTAGACATATACAGATAAAGAAACTTTACACCTCCAAAAGAGGCGAAGAATGGTGTAGTCATGTCATTTATTCATTGTAATGGCATTGTTTGTGATACCAGTCCTTGAAAATACAGTTACATGGTGCACTAACATGTTTAAATTCATAAATATAATAGCTTTAAAATGGGCTTAAATACTTTCAAACACACATAGTAGTTTAGTATATTGGCCCTGTATCAACTTCATGACTTGGGTGGATCAGAAAGCGGAAGTGTGCCTCCATGGTGATAGTTCAAGGCAGAACAGGAAGTGCTCCTCAAACTGGATGTGTCAGAACAAATTCACCCATCCAGTTTGTAAGTGTGTGTCCCTGTTACTCAGTATCATGTGATATTGAATCCTGAAGATTGGCAAGTCATCTATCATCTCTTCGTCTTATTTAATATCTTAAATGGAAAACTGAAGTAGGTTTTGTATTATCAAATCTGTCAAGCTTTGTAGTTCTTGTACAGTTACAACATATGTAACTCACCTTCTCACAGCACTTTTATCCTTCTTGAAAATTAATTATAAATGCATGTGTCAATGATTTTTATGCACGAATATGAAATAAAGCAGAGAGCATTAATATTTAGTGGAACTGAAATTGTCTCTCATATTTTAGGCATGTCATGTTATGATCTTGTTTTACAGAGTTTTAAAATGTTTTCCTCAGGCATTTTAACAATTTATTCACATATAAAAGTGTGTAATTTCTCACTCCTGACATATATAGGACTCTAAAATAATAATGGCCAAAACACCGAGTTTGGCATCAAGAATCATCTGACCATATTTCATGTCAGACCTGAAGATGGTGTGGGCAGTTTAATCAATGTGGTGGAAAAACAAATCATTTAAGTGATTAATTATCAGTCTTGTTCATCTTCTTCTTGTCCTTGACTGTTTTGTCTGAGCTGTCACATATTTCCACTAGACAAAAACACAAAAAAATTGCATTTGTCACACATAATAGATCATTTAAAGAGCAATTGCTGAGCGGCCTTTCATAGTAACTTGTTATCAGTTTGACACTGTTACTAAATCTATCATATCTTTCATTCTCTCACTCTCTCCATCTTTGTCTCTCCTGTTTTCACCTCATCTCCTGGCGTCTGTCTACTCTGCTCTGTCAGACCTGTCTCCTTCATTTCTGTCTCTCTTTCTTCCTCTCTTTCTCCCAGTATGGCGGCGTGGGACCTGTCAGTCATAGTGGAGGACCTGGGGTCTGACGCTCCACCTGTCACCCTCAGCGTGACCTCTGACCTCCACGTCGGAGGGGTCATTCTCAAGCTGGTGGAAAAGACACGTAGGTCACTGTCTGCCTCTGTTTGTCTCAGTCTTTCTCTCTGACACAGACTAAAAATAGTTTGATTATTTGCATGGACATATGTGGTGTTTTTGGTTTTAGTGTGGTCTTCTCTTCCTCCACTTCTTCCAGTAATCATAAAAAATGTCATAATTAGACACAAAACGTATGTTCCACCACCCCGTTGGTAAATGTGATTGAAAAAAACATAAAACAGCATATTAATCAGATTTTTCAAGGTTTCTCCAGCTCTATATTCAGAATATCCACTCGACCTGCACTATATAGCAAGGGGTCTATCTTTGGTCTGTATTTCCTTTCCTGTTATTTTTCTGTTTTCATTTCTATACTTTATTTGGTTATCGTATATGATTTAGTCTTTAATTGCATTGTTTGTTGCCTACATGTGCCTCACTGTTTTTGTGATTTATGTGAAGCGGCTGCTGACAAGACAAGCAATGCATTTCACAGTGACATTCAAAAATATGTGTTTACTTCTCTACATCATCTTTAATTGGCAGTATGATTCTCTAAATGTCGTTTTATTTGTTAGTTGAATTATTTCATTGTCCATTTATTCAGAAGTCACTTCACGTTGAAGAGTCTGTTTCTTCCATAACTACTAAAACGGCGTGATGACGCAGAATAAATGACCCTGACGTGATTTGAACACGCAACCTTCTGATCTGGAGTCAGACGCGCTACCGTTGCGCCACAGAGTCTTAGGTGTCCGAGAAAGCGGACAGGGAGTACATAATACTGCTGTGGTGACTTGTTTACTGTAATGTTATAAGCGGCCATGTAATGTAGTAATGATCGCTTACAATAAACATTACTGAAAAAATAAAACACATTACTAAGTAACGTTTTCACGGAAAGGAAAGGGTGTTGTTGTCAATGCATACAGTATACACTTAGTGGACACTATTCCTACATCTGAACAATCTATTGCAATCCAATACACCTCGACCATGATTTGTATGAAAAAGCCTATGTGAAGTTTTTGCTGACTACTTGTTGAATATAATGCAATCCAGTGCAACAACAACAAGTACAACTCTCACCTTTATGACTGTCAAGCAAAACAACATTTCTAAGCTTCATAAAGGTAGTAATAATGGCAGAATGTTGTTTTGGATTGTATTGCAGTAGATTGTAGTCTACCTAATAAAATGAACAGTGAGTGTGTGCATCCACAGAAGCTTTATTATTCAGTAAAGCTACACAGAATTGATACCACATAAATGATTCAAGGATTCAAGTAAGAAAACTATGCATGAAAAAGGAGATAAATTGACAATGATATATTTGAACACACAGCCTTCTGAGCTTGAGTGAGTCAGATGTGTTGAATTATGCCACAGGGTCTCTGAACTCAATCATTAATCTGGTGAACACTTTTGGAAAGAAGTAAACTGATGACTTTTAGTTGCCACTTTAGTGGTCAAGAGAATAATTTATGTTCACATGACCAGTGATTCAGAAGCATAACAAATTATAAATTCACCACATGGCTTTTGTTCTGTGATTATAGAAGTCAACTACAGGTTTCACACATCACTGCTTTAAATGAATGAATGTTAACTCTGTTTTGGTTTTTTAGTGACATCTGTTTTGTGTCCGTCCTCTGCAGAGATCAAGCGTGACTGGTCAGACCATGCACTGTGGTGGGATCAGAAGCAGCAGTGGCTGCTTCGGACAGCCTGGAGTCTGGAGAAATATGGCATCCACGCCGATGCCCGGCTGCTGTACATGCCCCAGCACAAGCCACTGAAGCTGGGTCTGCCCAATGGCATGACCCTGAGGCTCCATGCCTGCTTCTCCAGCCCTGTCTTCCAGACCGTGATGGGCATCTGCAGAATGCTAAGTAAGCCTTTCTTTCTTTCTTTCTTTCTTTCTTTCTTTCTTTCTTTCTTTCTTTCTTTCTTTCTTTTTCTTTCTTTCTGCCTCTCTTCATCCTTAAGGCATTAGAACTGAAAAAAAGTATACTTACAGAAAATCATTACTTAAAACTGTAATGAATTGTTTTAAAAAGATGCATTAACTTGATTTTTCAAATCAAACAGTGGGTTTTAAATTTCTTTTCCTCTCACAGTATGAATTCCTTCAGTTCCTTTTCTTACCTCTCCCTCGCAGTCATCTTGCTGCTTGTAAGAACTCACACTGTAATAGCTGTTCACAACCTAATTATTCTTCAAGATGTGTAAAAGTGTCTCATTAATATGTTGCAGTCTAATTGGATGTACCAACACACACACACACACACACACGTACACACACACACACACTACTGCCAGAAAAGAAGACCTTCGCCATCTGCTTCATGCTTTCATTCAGTCTAATTTTGGCACTTCTTGGTCTCAATTCCTCACCAGAAATCCCCAGGAGGTGACAGCAGACTGGAAAGGTTTTGAAAAGCAGCAGGCAGAGGGGAAATAATAAAATCTGTCGAAAAGCAGCTTAGAGGGAGCAGAGGTATAGATTAAGAAAGCTCTGATTTGTATCAAATTTACCATGCAGCAGGTAGATCAAACATGAAGAGAAGGAACAGAAACACAGATAAACCTCTGTTAAATCCCATTATGGATCAAAACAAAGGAGCCACTTCTACTGAAGGGCAGATTAAAACAGAAGCTTTTAACGATACTTGCTACTTAAAAACAAAAAACTGTTGATTCCATTTGGAAAGTGAATAATTCCATTAGCCTGTTATTCACAGTGGATTTATATACTGTGTATTCCAGGGTTTTCAGTCTAACAGGAAGCTCATTACTGGCAGAGGCAACCTTACAGAATAGAGACTGTTCCCTTTGGTGATTATGTGTCTCTCTGATACATGCAAAGTACTCACTGAGTACAGTAAATAGACGCAAGAGACTGACATTAGTGCATTCTACTGTAACTTCTTACAATAATCACTAATACCTAACAGCTATAATTAAGGAATAAATCAAAATCAGTTTGGTATGCAGATAAATAAAGGTTTGTGACATATTGCTGGTCAGCACTGTTAATAACCATCTGAATGAAAGTCACATATAATAAAAGTTTTGATGTGAATCCACAAACTCATTAAGATGTCACAGGTGCACAAGGTTGTATAGTACATGTTTTAAAGAGACTGTTTTCTTCTAAACATGGATTAGTGTTTCTTCTGCTCTGGTGTCAAATGCAAAGGAAACAACTTGACTTCAGGTACCATCACCTTCCATATGCACTTGAACTGTAAATTACTTGACCCTAACATGATTTGAACACACAACCTTCTTATCTGGAGACAGATGCGCTACCGTAGCGCCACAGAGTCTGCTACCACAGCTTAAGTGGTCAACAGATCATCAGATGAACCAAGCACCAGTATGTGTTAAATTGAGGTTTTCTACAGCAGTCTAGTTGACTTTGATGTGATATGACCATATAACCTTCAGATAGGGAGTCATCCCCACTACCATTACTCCACAGAGTATCTTCAGAGCTTTCCAACGATCCACTAAACCAATGAAAAACTAAAGGCCAGGGTTTCATGACCTTAATCTGCAAAGGACACAAGTCCATTATATACACTAGGAGCTTTCTTACATTCTCAAAGAGCAGAAGAGCTGACCCTGACGTGATTTGAACACGCAACCTTCTGATCTGGAGTCAGACGCGCTACCGTTGCGCCACAGAGTCTGCGTTCACTGGCCAACTGCTCAACAGATCAGCAGATGAACCAAGCCCTGGTAGATGATAAATGAAGGTTTTCTACATATTGAAAAGCAGCCTAGTTGACCTTAATGTGATATGAACAGGCAACCTTCAGCTAGGGAGTCAGCCCCACTACCGTTACCCCACAGGGTATCTTCGGGGCTTTCCAAAGATCCAGTAAACCGAACCCGGGATTTTGATGAACTTCATCTGCAAAGGAGACAAGTGCATTATATATACTATGAGGTTCGTTATGTACTCAGGGAGCAGAAGAATTGACCCTGACGTGATTTGAACACGCAACCTTCTGATCTGGAGTCAGACGCGCTACCGTTGCGCCACAGAGTCTGCCTTCAGGGGCCAACTGGTCAATAGATCACCTGATGAACCAAGCCCCGGTTGGCATTAAATGGAGGTTTTCTACACATTGAAAAGCAGTCTAGTTGACCTTGATGTGATATGAACATATAACCTTCAGATAGGGACTCAGCCCCACTACCGTTACTCCACAGAGTATCTTCAGAGCTTTCCAATTATCCACTAAACCAATGGAAAACGAAACACCAAGGTTTCATGACTTTCATCTGCAAAGGAGGCAAGCCCATTAAATACACTAGTAGCTTCCTTACATTCTCAAAGAGCAGAAGAGCTGACCCTGACATGATTTGAACACGCAACCTTCTGATCTGGAGTCAGACACGCTACCGTTGCGCCACAGAGTCTGCCTTCAGAGGCCAACTGGTCAATAGATCACCTGATGAACCAAGCCCCGGTTGGCATTAAATGGAGGTTTTCTACACATTGAAAAGCAGTCTAGTTGACCTTGATGTGATATGAACATATAACCTTCAGATAGGGACTCAGCCCCACTACCGTTACTCCACAGAGTATCTTCAGAGCTTTCCAATTATCCACTAAACCAATGAAAAACTAAACGCCAGGGTTTCATGACCTTAATCTGCAAAGGACACAAGTCCATTAAATACATTAGGAGCTTCCTTACATTCTCAAAGAGCAGAAGAACTGACCCTGACGTGATTTGAACACGCAACCTTCTGATCTGGAGTCAGACGCGCTACCGTTGCGCCACAGAGTCTGCTTTCACTGTCCAACTGCTCAACAGATAAGGTGATGAACCAAGCTCCAGTCAGTGATAAATGGAGGTATTCTACACATTGAAAAGCAGCCTAGTTGACCTTGATGTGATATGAACATGCAACCTTCAGATAGTGAGTCAGCCTCACTACCATTAACTCACAGGGTATCTTCGGGTCTTTCCAAAGATGCACACTTGGGATTTTGATAAACTTCATCTGCAAAGGAGACAAGTCCATTATATATTATATATACCTTATGTACTCAGAGCGCAGAAGAATTGACCCTGACGTGATTTGAACACGCAACCTTCTGATCTGGAGTCAGACGCGCTACCGTTGCGCCACAGAGTCTGCTTTCAGTGGCCAACTGCTCAACAGATCAGCTGATGAACCAAGCCCTGGTTGGTGTTAAATGGTGGTTTTCTAGAAATTTAAAAGCAGTCCATTTGAGCTTGATGTGATATGACAAATCAAACACTGGTGCAGGGGGTTTAAATTGATACTGATTCTTTTAATTGTCGGGAGGAGAGTTTGACTTTGATGATCTTCATCTGCTAAGGATACTAGTACATTATATGCACTAGAAGGTTCCTAATACACCAACAGCAGAACACTTGAGTTTGACATGATTCGAATATACAACCATCTGATCTGGGGTCAGACACCCTACCATTGTGTCACAGAGTATCTTTGGGCCCTTTCACAGAGCCATGATCCAGTTTGGAGTAAACATTTACCAAAAAAATCTAAATCTCTAGCATTTACATCCATGCCCTCTTTTTTACGTCTGCAGACATCCGTCGCCCTGAGGAGCTCTCCCTCCTTCGGCCCTTAGAGGAGAAAAAGAAGAAGAAAGATAAAGACTCAACAGAGGAGATCTACGACCTGACCGAGGTGCCCCTCTCCTCGGGTACACTCATCACACTCCCTTCACTCTCCAGGCCCCAAATTCACACATATTATAAGCGGTGTGTCTTAGCAAAAATATTTAGAAGCAAATGAGGTGGTAACAATAATCACTGAAAAATCTTGCTGTTGTAGCATCTGTTTTGCCTCTGAGAAAGGATTATGGTATTTTGTATAGTTGTCTTCAAAAGGCTTTATACACACAGAAAGTCTTATGTGGTCTATCTGAAAATTATCCAGAAGTAAACCTGAGGGACAGTGGAGAAGATTAATCATAGAGTCTTAAGCACACCTAACAGCAGTCTTCATCTGACAGCCATGACTGTTTTCTTAAGCAGCTACTGTGGATTTTAGAGCAGAAATGGAGACATTTATTACAGAGGCCAGACTTTTATTTTGATGTCTGTGAAGTTAACTCCCTGTAAAATTTAAATATAACTCTCTTACTCCCTCTTCTCTTACAGTGTCCCGGCCCTGTCTGTATAACGGCATGCCAGCTCACTTTGCTGACTCACCTCAGATGGAGACCATATACAAGATGCTGTCAGTTACTCAGCCTCCCCCCGCCCCAGAAGTCATAGCCAAGCAGTACCGTCCAGCCAGTGTGGTGGACAAGGCCCACATCAATGGCAGGTATGCCTTTACACATACATGCATGCTAAAAGTTTAGTGTATTAAAAAAGTGTATTAAAAAACATGACAATGAGAAACTGTTGATTAACATAATTATAATTAGTAATTCACAAATGGAACAGAAGTCAAATGGAAGATATATCTATAAATATATTTATTTAGGTTACAGAGTTTGAATATAAACGTACATATAACTTGTTAATTTATTTAGTTTTTTGGGTGTTGTTTTGTGCTAGTTTGTGATGTCATACTTACTCACAACATGTGTTATCTAAATGTAATCTCTCTGATTTCTGTGGGAACATCAAGACAGTAAAAAAATAGTTCTGAGGCACTGTGGTAGTTTTCTTCCACTTGTGAGTATATGTTTGAGAAAATACAGACTTATTCTCTTTTTTTCCTCAGGTGGTTGGACTCATCCCGTAGTCTTATGCAGCAGGGCATCCAAGAAAATGACCGACTCTGGCTTCGCTTCAAATACTTTTCCTTCTATGACATAGAACCCAAGGTGTGTGTGTGTGTGTCTGTGTGTGTCTGTGTGTGTGTGTGTACATGTTATGTTAACAGATAGAGTATGTGTATGTTTTTGTATCTGTATTTCTCAGTCCTTCCCTTCTTTGACCTCCACCCTTCCTCTCTGGCCCTGCAGTACGATGTTGTGCGTCTGACCCAGCTGTATGAACAGGCTCGCTGGGCCATCCTGCTGGAGGACATCGACTGCACAGAGGAGGAGATGATGCTGTTTGGTGCTCTGCAGGTAGAAAACACTACTGCTGAAGGGGAAATAAGTGCATCACGTTGGAGACATCACGTTAAAAATACTCTACAGGAAGAGGACGATAACCTCATGAAACTCTTAAATATCACATACTACAGGAAAAGTTTCACTATTTATATACAAATATGGTCAAATACATCTAATGAAGATACCAGTCAGTCAGAAACCAACTGTGAGCAGAGTCTGCCTTCACATTTTGTCAATAAATTACACTTTCAGTAATATACATTGTTTGATAAAATAATACATGAAAACTTCTAATTTGATAACACAACCATAAAAACTGGACCAAACAGTCATTCAAAGAAGGATAGGAAAGCATCTGTCTGCTGATTTGAATAATACATATTATATCTGTGTTTTATTTTTATTTTTTTGTTTAGTTTTTTGCTTTAAGGTTACAATTATGTCACAATTAAAATCCCACTCAGTGGATTCAAAATGGACTTGAAGACTGTTCTAATTTACGGTTACAATCTTTAGTATCCAGATGAAACACGTAGTAACAACACACAGTTTGAGTTATTTTCTCCTTTAACATCTCATATAAGGTTAAAAGTTTGTCACTCTCCTCTCTTAATTCAAACTCATGTAGTACCACATCAGTAAGGTTTCTCAGTCGGAGCCCCAGATGATGAGTTCCAGTGCAGCCATGGACGACTTGGAGTCAGCCCTGCAGTCCCTGGAAGTCAAGATGGAGGGAGAGAGCAGCTCCGCATCCGAGATGCTGGTCAGACATATTGGTTTAACTTGTATGTCAGCTACTGATACGCTTGACTCAGCTGTTTAACTTTATCATGGCTGAAGTAGTTGACAGTAGCGGCAAGCTTTAGGTCAACACAAATGGTGAAAAAGAAATGGGAGAAATGGCAACTGGTTTTTTGATAGCTCAAATGTTTAAAACAGCTTGGTGTCAGTGATAAGAGAAATTGTCAATAAAGGTTACATGAAATGTTACAGCACATGAGGGCCTTCTAAAACTATTTATTCATTTGTGTTAAAACATCAGCTGCAATTACATCATTTAAGATGTTATATTTTTGCAGTCAGAGGGTTCATGATTAGCAGTTACCTTGCTTATCATCATGCATTTCACTTTCCTACCTCGAAAACTAGAACAGAAAATCTCAGTTCAGTTTTGTGTGATGTATAAATTTATATAGGATTTTGCATAGAAAGAACAGTAGATACTCAAGAAAATTCTCTGTTGCTGCTTCCCTGAAACAAGATGGTGAAAAGGGGAGCTAATTTATAAATTGAAAGGTCTTTGTCTTTGTTGTCTATCATCCAGGAAAACATGACTGCACCAGAGCTCAACGACTATCTGAAGATATTCAGGTGAGATTCATTTTCCAGTCACTCAGTCCTCTCAGGTACTAATAAAATTCTTTCTTTATAACCATATAAAAATATATAAACATCTGCTATATGATAGATATTTAATCCATTGACTAGGAAAGCAGCAGTTTTCTGAAACTTTCTATTTTCTACCATATATGAGGAGGAAACGTCTTGATAAAAACGATCAAAGTGTTCTGGTGAAACTGAGCTATGTGACTGTATGTTTCAGGCCAAAGAGATTGACACTGAAGGGATACAAGCAGTACTGGTTTAAGTTCCAGGATACCTCAATCTCTTATTTCAAGAGCAAAGAGGAGAGCATTGGAGAGCCGATTCAGCAGATAAACCTCAAAGGTACTTATTATATTGTTGTACTTTCCATCATTTTGATATTTCCCTGCTATGTCACCAATGATATACTCAGTTATCAATAGAACCTTAAGTATAAATGAATTAGTAGCCAATGAAATAGCAGTCATTGCTTAGCAACATGTTTATTCAGATCTGTGTAATATCACTGCTGAAAGATTACTACATACTACAGTATAAAGTAATGCTAATGAGAAAACGCACCTACACACACACACCCAGAGAGAGAGAGAGAGAGAGAGACATTTATGATAAAGAGTCAAAGTCAGAGACAGAGTCTAAAAACAAATTTCAGGGCTTGAACTTTAACAAAGAAGAATATCAACACTAATGTAGATGACAACACAGAAGATTAACTGTAAGTGTGACTCAGGCATGGGCCATGTACTCAAGATGTCATGGAAGTCTGATTCAGTGCTCATATCGCTTATCTATCTGTTCCCATCGTATCTCTGTCTAACCGATAAATGTCACATTTCAGTATTAAATGTTGCTTTGATATCCATCTCACACACAGGATGTGAAGTGGCTCCAGACGTTAACATGGCCGCACAGAAGTTCCTTATCAGACTCCTGATACCAGCACCTGAGGGCATGAACGAGGTTTATCTGCGCTGTGAAAACGTGAGGCCACACACACCCACATACACCCACACCCACACACACACCCCACACACACACACACACACACACACACACACACACACACACACACACACACCTGTCTCCCCTCATTTCTGTATGTGACATCCTGTCATTTCCACCACCTCTCTCTGAATACCTCTGGCTTTGTCCCACTATCTCACATCTCTGACCACAGTCCCATCACTCTCTCACGCTTTCTCTCTCTGTCTTTCGACCTGCCCTGTGTCTTTGTCTCTCACCCACCAGGAGCAGCAATATGCTCAGTGGATGGCGGCATGTCGGTTGGCCTCCAAAGGCAAGAGCCTCGCAGACAGCAGTTACCAGAGTGAAATACAGAGCATCCACTCCTTCCTGGCAATGCAAAAGACCAACTCCAGTTCCCATGGCAACGTACCTGCCAACGATGAAAGCATCAATACTCACAGTCTGGTATCGCCACGCTACCATAAGAAGTACAAACCCAAACAGGTACAGGAGCCACAGAAGAGGAGGAATTTGTACACAGACACACAAAAAAAGATCAGAATACTAGATGTGACATCTCATATCTACAGCAGAGCACAGGACTACTGGATCACACCAGTCTCTCATTTATTGAGCCTTTATATTGTGTATGACATCTAACAATGTGCAAAATTCCAATGGAAATGAATTTAATCATTCAACATCAACAGTACAGTGATTTTGAACAATTGAGCTGACTGAATAGTTCTGCAGCTGAAACCCTTACCCAGTTTGTGCTCAAGGCAACCAACATAAAATTAGATCTGATCTTTACCCTGTGCCTGTTCCTCCAGCTGACCCCTCGTATTCTGGACGCGTACCAGAACGTGGCTCAGCTGTCACTGACGGATGCAGTGACGCGCTTCCTGCAGATCTGGCAGGCCCTGCCTGACTTTGGCCTCTCATACATCGTTGTCAGGTTAAGTTTAAAGTTTAATTTAAATGTTTTCAGAATTCATTGAATGCCAGTTAGCATCGATTTAAGCCCTAATTTTCACAACATGAAAGGTGGGAAAACTAGACAAAAGTCACATATAGTGTAACTGGGTTAAAAAAAACATTTACTCATACACAGCATAAATATTGAGATTGTATTGAGAGTCTTTTCAGATCAGATCTCACTAGCAGCTGTAATTTAAGAAAATGCAAATTTTCATTCAAGACTAAAAAACAAATCTATCTAAAAGGCAAAAATTGGGATTTTTTAAGATAAGTTCTGGTCCACAGTTGCTATCTGCTAGACACAATTCTGCAGATGAATTTCTGATATAGTGCTCCTTTGGGAAACTTTCTGAAACAAATCTGCTGTGTGTCGGCAGTCCCTGCTCCTGAAGTAGCAGTGCTGTAAATATGAGTGTTGATAAGAGTAGAAAACATAGGAAAACAAGTGGTATCCAATTCAGCTAGCATTCAACTCAGTTAGGTCTCACAATTTTGGAGGGTTAAAGAGTTGCTTTTGTCAGGATTTTGAAATACATGGCCCAGCAGAAAGCCCAGGAACTGTCCATCCAGAGAGAGCACAGGAAGGCTGACACACACAAGAAGATGACTGAGTTTTAAGCTGAGTTCTCTCAAACACTTGGTGGATAAAGGGAAGTGCTGCTTGCCTGAAATGAACTTTTGTCCTTTGCCTGTTGTCAGTTACTTGCTCCACTGCATTTTAAGGCATTTTAAGCTGAAAGACATTGAAAGACGTTTTTGACCAACAGGTTCAAAGGTAGCCGAAAAGACGAGGTACTGGGCATCGCTCCAAACCGCCTGATCCGCATCGACCTGGGGGTGGGTGATGTGGTCAAGACCTGGCGCTACAACAACATGAAGCAGTGGAACGTCAACTGGGACATACGACAGGTCAGACTCATTCTGTAATCAGGCTTCTGTAAGGGAGGACAGTTTGCATGATATATTTGTTGCTCTATTAGCTCAAGAAAAGTTCCCACGTGTCTAGTATTCACAAAATCTTATGTCACTATGCTGTTGTGATGACTTAACCCAAGGTCAAAACTGGTCAATTTGACTCAATTAAGACTTTGAAAACTTACAAACCAGGTATGACTTCGGCTACACACAAAAAATGCCTCAATGAATGCTGGCATCATCGGCCATAAAACTTCTGAAATGGGAGTAAAGGGAATGTAATGTAAAGTAATGGGAAGTAAAGTGACCTCATTAACACCAGGACTCCAGACTGAGATCTGTGTGTGTGAGTTCAAATTTCACGTGATCACATTCGTGTACGTGTATGATCATCAGGCTGTTTTGGTGCCCTTCCAGCACCGGTGCTGTATCATGCTGTTGTGTTTGAAAGTAGTGCTTTTTCCTCTACTCCACTGGCTCAGTTGTTCTCTCCCTACCCGCACTCCCCCTGCCTGCACTTTCATCATCAGTGCACGTGTCTCCATGTTCCAAAGATTAAGCTGTCTATGCGGGTCAGGGTTTTTTAATACCTGCACCCACCAGGCCCGTTATGAGAGCCAATACACACCACCCAAAAATATGCATTAATCAACCACCCAAACTCAACCTGACCCGCAAACGGCCTAATGTATTATAAACCAGAGGGGCACACAGATAATGCAGACCTCCACCAAGCCCAATGTCAATCAACATAGACCAGACTTCAGAGAAAAAAATTCAAACTCATAGTAATTTAATGGGTTCTACCTTGGCCCATGCCCCATCCCTCAACCAAATTCAGTACAAATCAGTTCAGTACTTTTTTCATAATCCTGCTGACAAATACAGGTGAAAACATACCCTCCTTGGCGGAGTTAATTATGGTCTTGGGTGCATTGAAATATATGATAGATATAAATTACGCTATCATTCGATGATGCAGATTATTAACAACCATGACATAAGGTGGACCTTCCCCCTATGGTGTGTGTGTGTTTGAGAGAAAGGGACAGAGAGAGGGGGAGAGAAGGTGAATAGCCTATAACAAAAGCCTATTGCATCAACATCGTATTTTGTAGCTGTGTGCAATTTCACCAGCGTAAAATGTTTTCAACCCTTATAGTATGCATTTATCTTAAAATAATTTACTTCACTTCTGTGTGTGTGTGTGTGTGTGTGTGTGTGTGTTTCTAACCCCTCCAGATGGCCATTGAATTTGAAGGCAATGTCAACATTGCTTTTAGCTGTGTGACTGCAGACTGCAAAATTGTTCACGAGTTTATTGGAGGCTACATTTTCATGTCGACACGCAGTCGTGAGAGGAGTGACACGCTCAATGAGGAACTCTTCCACAAGCTGACTGGTGGCCATGAAGCTCTCTAAGACAGATGCCCACATCAGATCTTAACATGATTTATTGTTGCATTCAGGCAACCATTAATGGTCAGAACAGTATAAGGGTTAAAATAAGATAATCTGCTTGTGTGTACATGTATAAACCCACCTTGTCAATCCACTTAAGTTCTTATCTAGCCTTTGTTCCACACACACACTGTTTATCGTAAGATACATCAGAGGTTGGAAGACTTTAAATATTCAGACAGTTCAAGACTCCAGTGGTCCTCGTGTTGACTTCCAGTTTCCTCCAGGATGGACTGCTGCTGGGCCAAACTGCTGGTCATCTGGTTCAAGCATCAGCAGGACTAAATTAAACTCATGGAAATGTAAAACCACTTGGATAAGCCAGCAGCTACTTTTCTTTCCATCTGTACAGAATTATAATCAGAATTGTTCAGGATGCAAAGCCTTACTTTGTGTAGAGCTATAGTCTTACTGTCACTTAGACTTCTGTTAGAAATGAATAACACATTACAGGAGCCACATTATTATTAAAGCTAGGAATTAAAAACATTGATGATATAATGCATGCCAATATAAAATGTTTACCATTAACTAAATAAATATAGCAAATTTTCATTCTCTGTTGTCTTCACTCCTTGTCGTTGTGACATATGGTGATAACTTCTGTTGTTTCTTACACAGGAAGCTTCAAACCAATTATCTCCTCGCACATGCTGCGTGTGTGTCCATATCTTCATAAGGAACTGTTAAGGCAGTCTGTTAACTAAAACCACAGTGTCTGCATCCTCTGTTTTCCCATACTTAGTCATGTGACTAACCACACATGCAATATGTCTTCAAATGTTCATTTTCATTTATTTAAAGGCCTGGCTGGTTGTTGCCAACAGTCATTGTATCTGATTGTAACCATTATTACATATTTTAGAGCTGCTTGGTGAAACTGTCTTGGCAGTCAATCAAGTTTATTTATTACAAACAATGCAAAAGAGAAAACAAAGCCTCTATACTTATAAATAAAAAGTGACGATTGTCAACATAAACTGGTTGAATTCTCATATAAAAATAAAGGTTTCTCTACAGCCATACTGATCCTTTCAATAATGACACAAAAATGAAAAGTTTTCCAATTTAGTCCCATTAAGGATAAATTCTGAATGCACTCTCCTATTTCTGACCAAAATTGCCTCACAAGGATGTTCCTGCCAAACAACAAATGTTACCAAGGGAACCAGGATAATTATCAACCAACCATGGGATGCTAGCAAAGTCAGGTGAGCCTTCCTGCGACCAATGACAAATCAGTATCCTCTGCTGCTACTGCAGTGGCAGGATGCTCCCTGAAACACAGGACAAGACTGACTTCAGTGAACAAGTAAATGTTGGCACTCAATCTTTGCTTTAAAACATAATCTATATTAAATGAATCCATGTGATAGTTTTTCTTACTTGTAGGTCTCAGTCTTAAGGCTCGACTGAAGTATTTTGGAAGAAGTTTTCCTTCTGTGTTGCCTGCAGTCAGCAACACACCGTTCTCTGACCAGAAGAATTCAATACCTTCTGTATATTCAAATATACACATAAAACACATGTAAGAGAGATTCTTGCCTAAACATATAGACTGAATTGAGTGTATTGGGCAACAGTCGATAGTGGATAAGATTACCGGCAAGAGCTTTGGGCACATCAATAAACACGGCTAGATCACAGTCTTTCCTCATGCCTGGTGGGAAAATGAAATAACTCAGTAGTACCATTTTACTTTAATGTTCAGCAGACATGCTTCTGTTTCTCTCTCTCACACACACACAGCTTACCGCTGATGATGCCATCTTCCCCAGGGAGGCCTGATGCCAGGTGTATGTGTGTCCTCTTCATGCGGCTCAGGCCCTGCTGCTGGATGGAGCTCCATTTGCACAGGTAGGAGCCATGAACAGCCTCAGCTGGGCAGTCTGGAGAACCAGCCAGGACCGGTTTCAGCTCCAAATCCCTTACCTGACCTCAGCAATGGAACTAGTATTAACACAGCATTTTGTATACTGGACTTTTTTGGACCACATTAAGATTCATACACAGAGTTCTGTTGAAACTACAGCTTTGATGCTTAATTAGTTGTGAAGGTCTTAGAGTGAAATTGAACTACTCATAAGGCAAGATTAGGAGAAAAACTGAGGACTCGATTAAAATGTAACCAAACACCAGTGAGCGTTTATATGTAACCTGTGTTCAGCTGACATGTCAGCCTTTACAATAAATGCCTCTGTCAACAATTCAGGTGGCGAAAATCACATAACAAAGAAAAGTTAACACCAAATCAAACTTGAAGATCCACTTTAGCATCAGAGTTGGTGCTGCTATTTCCAGTGTCTTTTTGTACCATCACCTAAAACTGATTACACTTCTTTTAGAGGATAAAAATGATTAGAGTGATTGTCAGAGGACTAAAGACATACGTCATCTTAAAATTAGATTGCAGTGGGACAGAATGGAGCGCATTTAACAGGAAGTAAATATTTTGCAAAATGTAAATGTACAGTTTATATACTTGTATCTGAAAAAATTAATAAAACTTTAATTTACATTGTCTTTCATTCAGACTCTCCCACACATACTGTACAAATATAAAACACAGACTTGGCCTCTGAAATCTTAGTATACTTCATGTTGCTGTTTGGTTTTTTATCTCTATGAGTGACTGGAGAAAAGACACAATTTTTCCATTACCCACACCTCATGTACATTTATCATGTTAGTAAGTCCAGAGGAAAACTTGTTCTGTCGAAAAGCAATTTTGGTGTAAATTAAATATACTGTACAAATGCAACACTGAATACAACAGATATGCATCCTTGCATGCTGGCTTGCTGATGAAAACAAATATCCCCTTTCTAGTGCCATTTGTAGGTGTCCACAGGTCTCTTTTCAGGAACACAGACACCTCATCTAAAATATACTAGTCTGTTTACCTGCACTGTGTGGCCCTGATTAGCTCGAATCTGCAGGCGTCCATCTTCTGGGTGGGGAGAGAGCTTGAAGCGCTGCTTGTCATTTGTGGCCACAACTCTCTCAACATCTTCCAATGAGTATAAGTGAAACTGCGGGTGAGCCAGGAGTTCCTCCACAAACACAAAGCCATCTGTGAGGATGAGAACTGTTATGGCTATGGTCACATTTCCACAACGGATTTTCTCTCTTGAACTCACCTCTTTGCACTGTACACTGCACTAGAATACATTTACAGTCTGCAAGCATTTTGTGAAACTAAGAATACAGATGTTCATGTTATGACTGATGTAGAAAGAAAGCCCCTGTCATTTCTAGACTTGTTTAACAATGCTTATTTACCACAAGATCAAAAATCATGTCACATGGTCAATGTAAGTTTAGTGGTGACATAATTGTTGAGCTCTGCCAAGACTGAATGCGGCACACCAGAGGGTTTTTCTTTCATTGCTAGACTAAGGAGAATATAGCCTGTGATGTAGATGAAGCTCTGGCCTGACCCAGTACAAAGGCATGATGCTGAGGCTGAATAAAGTGTAATGTGCTTTTCATTTGTCTTTGTCCTTTTTGCCTTTTGCTGTACTGAAGTTTTACTGTATGCAAGTACTTGCAGTACTTAGAGTAGGCAATACTGTAACTGTTATTGAGGTGTGTTACTTTAGAAGTAATAAACTTCTTAAGCTACATGCCCTAAACACTGTGTTTTCCATTTTTTATGTAGTGTGTAATGAATGCTCAGTACGTAGTGTTTTTATTTTGATTGGCTTTGTGTCTGACCTGAAAACTGTTTGATTTTGAGAACTGATGACACCGTTTTGAGGCAAGTCAGAGGTTTTGTAAATGTGGTTTAACAACTGGGTTTTGTGTTTACAGTTTTGAGAAAAGCATGCAAAGTTTCAAGACATATGTTTTAGCAATTGTGAAAAATAAAAAGTCAATACTTGCTATCAAAGTTCTGTCAGAAGCTGTCACAGTATCAGTAAAGGGACACTTGTGTTACCTAGACCAGACTATGAGCAATTCACCTGTACCCATTTGAAGACCCATCTGCTTGGCTCCATGGCGAAGAGCATAGGATATGGATTTGGACAGGCGGACATCCTTGTCCTGGTAGACAGTGACAGACAGACACTCTCAATTTCATCTCTAATTATAGCTATAGTTTAAAAATAGGACCTCGGCTTTACCATGCCAAACAATTCACCCTGCTTGCCTTGAATCACAGACATGTCATGGGTCACAAATCAGTCTTTGTTATTAAAGAAAAGGGACACTATCCCAATTTATACGACTGAAGTCTCTCACCTCTCCACCACGATTTCTTCTCCTTCCTCTGCCTCCTCTTCCTCCCCTATCACTGTCCATTGAAATGCAGGCAGCTCAGTCATTCAGATCATAATCAGAAGCTGTTGGATATTGTATCATATAGTGTGGTGAATTTAATTCAGCGAAACGTTACACAAGATCACAGCTGTGGTCAACAAACTGTTGTCAACAAACGTACAGTTAGCTCCCACTTCCTGTCTGTTCGCGTTATCCGCTTGTAGGTGGCAGTGTGGCGGGTGGAGTGGAGCTGCGGTAGCCAGCCACCACAGAGGAAAAGCTGCATCTTGTCAGGGAGGAAAACACTCAAGACAGCCAGCAGGTGTTGGTGACAAAATATTCATCACAATCGCAAAAGTATGAGGTACCTCAGATGGGAATTGGTGGTTCTTATTTCAGGGTAACTTACAACTCATGCTGATAGATGCGCCACTGGAGCTCCCGGTGCTGGAATTTTACACAGAGGTTGGGCTAACTTGGCTAACTAACTGTTAGCATAGTTGAGCTGGAGCTGCTTGTTTTTCTTGGTATTTGGAACAATATTTCCATAGTACATTTAATTTTGTTTGCCATGTTTCATCCTCACCTGCTTGCCACTGGCTGTGTTGTTTGTATGTAGCGTTACATGTTAAGATATGAAGAGGTCCTAGACGAAGACCGTGACAGTGGACGGAGGACTTCGAGCAGATCACCATGGAAACGTACATTTAGATATGTTAGAGGATGGCAGTTGTCCGGAAACTCAAATGTCAATAAACAGAGTTTAAAGAAAAACAGACCTGCTTTCCGTGAGTACCCAGCTTTTTTAATGTTTAATGAAATTGTACAACTTGTGTTGTTGTTTACAACTGAAATGTTTTCTTTTTAGTTGTTACGTTTTGACGTTATTCCTGTTTTAAGGGATAACACTGTATTTACTTTGTAACCTAACTTCAGAAGGCCAGTTCTCCCTTGTGATACTGTACCTATCCATGCACATAGCTTTGGTTTTATATGCCAGCGTTTTGAGGTCCTTGATAAGTTTTCTGCCATAATTTGAACAGCATAAAAGTGAATAGAATTTGATTTGTGGTGTTTGAAAATCAACACTAGGGAAACTTGATAGCAATGTGCCTTTCTATAAACTCTATCATTATGACTGAGAATGATCCATATACCTCATTGTTTATTTTTCAACGGGAAAATTTTTCTTTTAAGAAAAAAAACAATGGATGGATTTTTTGTAATTTGGGTGAACTGACCCTTTATCGATATTTTCCCAAAAGAGATGACTGACATTAAATTTGTGAAAGCCTTTATTTATCTGAAGAAATCATAAGAGAAGTGCCAAAATATTTTTCAGGATACTTTATGCAGCTGACTACAGAGCTGTCTGTGGTGATTTATTTCAGTGACAGCAGAATTTCTCTTTATCTCTATATCTCTGCTTTCTCTTGTTTTTATCCTCTCTGTTGCTCAGGTGATGGAGTTCCCCCAGCATTCCCAGCAGCTACTGTCAGCTCTGCGTTCCCAGCGCCAGCGGGGCTTCCTCTGTGACTGCACTGTCCTGGTGGGCTCATCCCGTTTCCTGGCTCACCGGGCTGTTTTGGCCTCCTGCTCGCCTTTCTTCCACATGTTTTACTCAGATTCCCCTGGGGGCAATGGTGGTAACGGCAGCAACAGCTCTGTCACACTTGACAGCGACATTGTCACAGCTGCTGCATTTGGCTTGCTCCTAGATTTTGTCTATGAAGGTGTGCTGCAGCTGGAAGAGTCTCCACCAGTGGAGGACATATTGGCAGCTGCAAGCTTTCTGCACATGAACGAGGTGGTGAGAGTGTGCAAGAGACGACTGCAAAGACGAGGGCCTCTGGCTGAGGCGGACAGCACTCGTTCTGAGGAGAGCGCAGGTGTGAGGAAGGCATTCCAGATGGGAAGAGAAGGTGGCGGTGACACTGGAGCTGAGCCTGTGATGGCCATGGCAGGAGATAACATGAATCCGGTTGCCATGGCAGTGCCACTCTCACCAGTGTCTGTAGTGGCTGAGAGGAGGCAGTTGGAGTCTGTGAAGTCTGAGCGGAGGACTGGTGGAGGGTCATCAGAGGCACGAGTTCACACTCCTCTGAGCCCTGACCTTGCTGATACCACCCAGCCAGGCATGGACGCCCCTCCTCTGCCCCCAGGCGGAGAGCTGGTGCAGGGCCTCATCCCTGGCCAGTCTGTCCCTGGTCACATCAGGTTGGGGACTGGAGGTCAGGGGGAAGGGTCTGCACTCTGCAGCCCTTGCAGCACCACAGAGACATACAGGTCTGTGTAAATTTATAGACTAAATATGAGATTTGTGACCAGTGTTTTTTATTTCAAGCTTGTTAGCAGCCTGAAATCTTTAGTCTGATCCTTGTCCCAACAGTTGAAGTCAACGAACGCTAATAATCACTTAAGAATTAAGAAAATATACAATAACACAAAAACAAAACAATAGTTAAATCCACGTGCAAAGATGCCAAGAACATTAACAGAGGAATGTGGAATTGTAGTTCCAGTAAAATACACAGGGCAAATATGCATAGTGTGCACAAGTATTTGGATATTGTGAACATAAAGTACTAAGTACAGGGAATAGTACAGGTCAGTGCAGCGTGATAGATGATATATCAGTCTGTGTAGTAGGGAAATAGCATTGTATGTAAAAAGTTAATTTGAAATTGAACTCAGGAAATAGACTTACCGAGCACTTTATTAGGAACACCTGTACACCTGCTTCTTGTGCACCTGCTACACCTCCATGTACTGATGGGCATTCTTACTGTTTGTTGTTACTAAAAAAGTAGTTTTTATGTTCCGTCCTTCCTTTCTTTCTCTCTTTCACTAGCCACAGCAGCAACCAGCAGCCCTCTTCCTCATCTTCTTCCTCCCTGGTCTCAGTGAGTTATGCTGGTGGTCGGTCAGTGGTTGCTCTTTCAGAATCCAGCCTCTCCCCCAGCCCACATCAGGACTTACCACGACTGCTCCATGACAATGACTCTAGTAGGAAACCCTCAGAGACTGACCACAGAGGTACATTAGGCGGAGGACAACAAATGGTCATGTTAATCCAAAAGTCAGTACCCACCTCACACTTACAGACCAACCCGACACACTCGCCGATTCAACGTGCACCTCCCCAAATCCGAATCCAGAGCGCTGTGTCACTCCAACGCCAAAGCTCTGACTTTCACACTGCACCTCAGACACAAACCCTTAAGGGACCTGAAGGGGATACGGGAGCTTCACCTACCACTAGAAATGTGGGCAGAGTGAGGACAGACAATAGTGATAGAGAGAATGTGAAAGTCAAAGTGGAGGCCATTGTTATATCTGATGAAGAGCTGGAGGAGGTGAAAGAGAGAAGCAGAGAGAGAGAACCAGTGATGGAAGTGGAGGATGAGTTTGAAGATGACATCCAGGATGAGGAGCTGAACAGCCCTCAGTTTCTCCATTCTCACCCGCAGGGCCTCCAACAGATGACCTCCCATGACTACTCCTTCCCTCTCTCCCCCTCCTCCTCCTCCTCTGGTGCTGCCCCTTCCTCCCAGGAAACCTCCTCCTTTGCCGTTTCCCTCATTCCTCCGTCCACAGCCCAGCAGCATTCAGACCCTCCTGCCTACTTCCAGGACTTCCAGGACTCTATGGGGAATTTTGTGGAGGATGTCCCCACATGTGGCGTATGTGGGAAGACTTTCTCATGCACGTACACACTAAGGCGTCACGCCATTGTGCACACACGTGAGCGCCCTTATGAGTGCCGCTACTGCTATCGGAGCTACACACAATCAGGCGACCTGTATCGGCACATTCGCAAAGCTCATGACCACACGCTGCCAGCCAAACGCAACAAGGCAGATGTGGAGCCCTCCCAGCCACCACAGCCACCACCACCTCTTAGCTAACACAAACAGGCACACTGTGGTATTTCTATACTTTAACACTCATACCTAAACTTTAACTGAATATTCTGACTCTACTTCAACCCTAAATCAAGTGGGGCTGCAATTATTAGGGATCGACCAAGTAAACGTGTTACTGCGTTACATTTTAAAGGGGGGGGGGGGGGTAAAACATCTTCTTTCGTGATAATAATAATATATGATAACCAGGTTACCAGGTGTATCAGTTCACAGGTGAAAACGGCACCAAAATCAACCAATTAATTCCAGTCAGGCTCTTTGCAGCTTGCACATATAACTGATAATTACTAATATACACTCAGTTGTCAGTTTATTAGGAACATCTAGATAAAACTGATGTAGTCTAATACAACAGTCCTGCAGTAAATCCTCCTTCATGAAGGTTATAATGTTCAGTTTTTATTAAAATTGTTTTAGACAGTTGTTGATTATCATTGTGGAGGATGTAGTGTTTGGAGCTGTGTTACATTATACAGAGGTGTTTCTGTTATTTAGCCTACTTTCACTGATATGAATGGGGTGGACAAACTAATAGAAACATCTGGACACGACGGTGAGTGTCCTTATACAGCAGTTGTTTTGTGTTGGCAAATCGGTTCCAAATATTGGTTATTGGTCTCCTTGATTACCAATAATCGATATCGTATCAGCCCTGAAAAAACCATATCGGTCGATCCCTAGCAATTACTGATTATTTTCTTAACTACAATGGCACTCAGTAGAGCACATACCTCTGCTAAGACCAAACAATTCCACACATCCTGCTAAATAAACAAACAAAAAAAACATGAAACGGATGTGGGTGAAAATATAACCTCCTTGGCAGAGGTATTAATAATAATAAGTACACATCTGTGTGAAATGCAGATTCAGCATTTTATTTCACCAGATCTGCATTATTATCTAGATCTACTCAAATTGTACAAATTCATACATGTAAACACCATAAATATGTCAGATTTTTTTTACATCAAGATCCATACATTATTTCCAGAGGAACTGACCTATCTGGCATTGTCAAGGAAAGTGATTTCCTGGATGGGGCCCTTTAACTGGATCCATAATCCTTCTGACAAATAAACAGACACAGGCAAAAACATAATCTCCTTTGTGGGGATAATTTATTTATTTCATCCAGAAAAATAGTTTAAAACTCAAACATATTGTAACACAAAAATAATCAGAAAATATTTGCGAAGCTGTAATCAGATAGTATAGTCGCTGATTAATTTAAATTCATAGTTGAACATGACTTTGAAATGTTTCCAGGGTATTTACAAGTCTTTAAAGTCTTACATTTTCTGAAATTAGATTTTAGAAAATTAAGCCATGAATTTATGGTCTTTAATTCGGGCTTTGCTAAACATTCAGTCAGACTTTAACTATTAATTTATGTTATTTTTTTAGAAATAAACTGTGAAAGTCACCAAAACCAATCTGCTTATTTTGACAGTTGCATAATTTACTTCCATTTAAACTTGATTTAAGCGACATACTTACATATGACACTTCTCTGGTAGTATAAGGCATATATATGTAATGTAATCCAATGATCAAAATCTCAAAAAGTTGCCTCTCTGTTGACCCCTATTTAAAAAAAACATTTGCACAATTGCCACTAGTTGTGCCACTTCTTCTGCTCAATTTATCTGAACATTGTCAAATACTTTTACATTTGTAAACACCCCCCAGATACCCTGGTTGTCTATTCTTTTGCAGACATTTGTATCCCCATAAGTACAGAAATACAATAACTCATACACACAGAGTAAACACCAGCCATGTGGCTGTCATATTGGCACTCATTCATCAAACAAACACTTAATGTTACTGTATGACCATTGTCTCTGTAGAACCCTAAAACTGAGCTGACACCTGTGCTATTGTGCTACTCTTTGTAAAATTGAAGAGGTGTTTTACAGTTTAAGTTTGTACTGTTTTAATATCTTGATCTTTTATTTATACATTTGTATGAGTATAAAAATGATCACAAACTTCATTGTTGGAAGAGGGGATGATTCAGGAAATGTATGTTTGAATGACTTGTTACACCTACCTACACCTACTGTTTACTATATCAACTTAAAACACAAATAAGGGAAAAGCTGTTGTGTTTTGAATTTTATCAGTTTTAATTTGTACAACTGCCTTTCCAGTGTGAGTCTGTGCCAGCAACCTTTGACTGATAAATGTAGTAGCATTGTACTGTCTAGTGTTATATTGACAGGATGCAACCACGAGAGTTGTTCATGTGGCAGCAAATATCTACACAAGTTCTAGAAATAGACTCAGACTGTGCCATTTTATAACCTATAAAACTTAAAATATGAGCTTTTCCTTGCTTCAGTTTTCATAAAGTCACATCATCAATAGCAGATGTATACAGTATATTTCATGAAGTAGGAAATCATGGGTGCTATATGGCCTGTACTTTGCCTTGTTTCTTCACCTCCTTTAGCAGTGCAGTAAAAAGTCTTTGATTAGGAAGATTCCTAAATAAGGCAACTGACCAGAAATATCAATGTGGCAGCTGTACAAACTAACTAAAGTGTCTAAATGTTATGGAAAGGTATTTCATTTTATTGTAAGGACAAACTTACCATGAAGATTGCTGCTCCAACTTCTCTGATCTTGCAGTATTTAAATGACAAACAATACAGTAGCCTACAGTAAACGGTTGGATTCTCTTAGCACTGTGCATGTCTTGTCCTTATGATTTCTCCTGAAATCATTGAAGTTACTTGACATTTCCCATCCGAGTGAATTAAAAGTTGTTAGGAATAGAAACTGGTTTTATTTGTCTGAGCCTACATTCCCTGGTAGGATAGCAGTGGAAGTGAGGGAGGAGTGAATAACTTTTGGGATCCGCTCTTTATGTGTTTGGCTTTGCGTATTCTGTAGTGTTTCTCATGTAGAAGACTGAATATACATTATGAGCACACTTCAACAGATGCAGTACTTCTGCCTTCTCTTTAAATGTTTAAATTTAAACTTTAAATGTGCCTAAATGACTCTTTGGAATTTATTGTTCTGCAGCATTTCACGTTTTGGGAGCTGACCTAATGAAAATTGATTAGTATCAGTACTACCATACAAACCTAAGAGTTTTAGAGTGGATACTCATAAGGGACAGTTGAGTCATTGGTTATTTAGGTTTCATGATCTACCTAATCTAAATGTTACCTTGTGAATAAACACTGTTCAGACCAAACAACGTGTATATGTTGTAATGTTTCAGTGAATCACACAATTCACAGGTTGTTCAGTCAACATTATCTTTTATTTTTCTTTACTTCACTACAAAAGAACATATACAAAAATATAAACATTTCACTTGTTACCTATTGCTATGAAACAGTAGTTTTAAACAGGTTAGCATATCTGAAGTTATCTTTGTGACCAGTAACCAGCAAACAGTACATTTCATCCTAACATGTTCAGGTGACTTCAGCCTGCCTTCTTTTAGCAGGAAGTTTTGTGTCTCTTCAGTCTTCTACTGGCCCATGGATCTGTGAAGAGCCAAAATATCAGCTTTCCCCTACAAATCTGGCTGCCTCTGTTTTCTTGTATTTCCAACCAAATATTCTGATTAAATATTGTTGTCAATACTAGTTTTGTTACTATCTGTTAAACTGTAGAGAAACAATTAAAAGGATGGTACCACAATACTGCTCCAACAGCAAAGCTGCTACCTAGAAATCCAATTTTAATTGAACCATATTGTATTTGCTAGTCATACAGATTATTTACTTGCGCAGTAAAAGACAAGCTGTCAGAAATTGTTTATGCTGTAGAAGTCATTTTAATAGCACTTGCTTCTGTGGCAGAAACTACTGGTTTGATTAAAATTATTGTTAGTGAATCAGTATGCTGGACTATGCTCTGATTATCTCCTCACAAGAAAATAAGTTAGGGGATCAGTGTAGATTTGCCAAGTAAAATATGGACCCCCTTAAATATGGAACATAGCATGAAGAAAAAACGCAGCAGCTTTACTCAACTTAAGTTAACCAGATAACTTTAATTCTGCTTAATGATACAAGCCACTGATCAGTTAAATATTACACACATCATACTAGTATAAATGAACTTATCTTAAACTACAGTCTACATAAAGAAAAAAAAACACCTCACCGCTTCAGCCAGCTCTGGCCAATCCATCGCCATCACAACAGCGTCGTCAGAGTTCGGAGGAGTCTCAAGGTTCCAGTAAGTCAGCTTGTCAAACACAGAGGATACCCTCACTGTCCTGTCCTGGACACACATACAAGCACATGAAAATTGATTTTTGAAGTGAAAATACATAAATTCAACCCCTGCAGCAAACAGCAGTAATTAAAAAAGAGCATTTCCTCAAATGATAATGCACTGTTACTTTTTATTTCATGAACTTTGCACTAAGTCTGTCCTTGGTAACCCCTCTATGGCAGCAACTTGCAAACACCTCTTGTAGCAGCAAAGAGTCTTTTATTCTTGTTTTAGGATTTTTTTTTTTTACCTATTCTTCACCCACTCAACTGCATGCCTGATTTTATGTCCTATGCAGTCAGTGCTTTGCTGTATGTTTGACTGACCCAGACCACTTGTCAGTGGTGTTTACCTCTTGGTCGGAGCCAGACTTGTTGATCTCTTTGAGCACGAGGCCAGTGTAGTCCTGTGGACAGCTGAGCTCCTGCCCCTTCAGCCCGCGGCCTCTGAATGACACTGTCTTCTCTGTAATGGGAGAAATGCACAAAGGATAGTTGTTAGAGACTCACCAGTGTGTCCCAGTGTGATTACTTCTTTATGGGTTGTATCTCCACCAGTGTTTTCTATGAACTGCAAACTTCTCCAGTAACGATTAGCTTTAGTCTCCTGGTAGAGAGGCTTTGAAAAACTAAAAATCTGTTTGAGATTAAACATATTCTGAGTGTACCATATTTACGGTCTTTTGTGGTGGCAGTGAAGTATTGTGAGACCTGGGCGGGCCCATTGTGTTCAATCTCACAGGGCATCAGGTGGACTGGAGCTCGCTGTGCCTGGCCCACCGATGACACACAAACACGAGTAACACTGGTATTACAGGACATCCTGCAACCAGAAGACAGGAGAGGGCAAAACACATGAATAACAAGACATTACATTCTGAAGTGAAGTCTTTTTTCATAAATAAAATAACTATGAAAAGTTTTTCAGTATTTTACTGGTTTTAGTATGACATTTTCATCATTTTAATGTGTTGTATGCAATAGTCTCTAATTGTTTTACTGTTTACATTTGTATTGTCTCATCATATTGTCAGCCTTCACTGTAGGACAACTGTTATTCGAATAATTTGATTGATCGACTGTGTCCATTGACGTAATCTTTAGAGCTGCAATAATTGGACGATTAATCAGTTAGTCCATCAATAGAAAAATGATCAGCAAATATTTTAAGAATCTAAGATATCAAGATTTCCTGCTTTTCTCTGTTTAGTGTCATATTAAACTGAATATCTTTTGGATTTGAGCTGTTGATAGATACAACAAGATATTTGAACATATCACCTTGCACTCTGAGAAACTGGGATGGACATTTTTTCACTATTATTTCATTATGTTCTGACATTTCATAGACTAAACGATTAATCGAGAAAATGCTGAGAAGATTAATTGTAAAAGTAAACAATGGTGGGTCGCAGCTCTAGTAATCTTACTAACTGTAATTACAGTATAGGCAGTTTGTAAATATGATATGACAACAAACAGTGCACACTTTCCCAAAGATAAACAACATTATCACATAACCACTATTATCTACTGTCACATTAGCGTGTTTTCTCACTCCTTGATAAACATCATTTAACAAGTTTTTAGCGACTTCCTAAGCGATCAGAGACAGTTCAACTCCAACGTTACCTTTCTGTAGATCTCTGGTTAGCAACAGTCGCTGCGTGTGATTGGTGACGAGACGGAGGAAATCGTCTTCTTCTACGCTGGAGGTTATTTTGGCGGGGTTTTTCCTTTCTGCCAGAGGATGCCGCCCCCTCTCGACGAGAGACGATGTGAACATTTTGGGGTCATCAACATATTTGGCATTAGGGGCGCTATTGGACAGTATCAGACTATCGAGGAGTGGTATACAGTATGGGGGAAATTAGGCCTTTGCAGTACACTTAGCAGCAATGCAGAAAAACAAACAATTAAACAACTGAATAATAATAAATAAAAGTAAAATAAAAGTTTGGATTAGGCAATCAAATACAGTGAATGAATAAGCTTTTAGGCTGCCCTTAAGGTCAAATTATCATCTAACATTGTCATGGATGTAAATATCAGTTGTTAAGATAGATATAAACATTCTTATTATATAATATTATTATATTATATTATATTATATTATGGAGAGTTATGATATCATACCAGCAGCCTTGATTTTCTGAAATGTTACTTTTGTTTGTTTTCTACTTAATATAAACTACATAATTTGGCTTTATGTCCAGTGGCGTCACCAAAACATTCCAGCAGGACATAGTATAATATTGTTGTGTAGCCTGTCTGGTAAATATATATATAAGTATAAACTCAAGTCATCAAGCCTCACCCCTGTTGTCAGTGTCATGTTCAACACCAAGAACTCTGTTCCAGTTGGCACCAGCATCTCTCTTCATGTGGGATGGACTAAACCCTGTCCAATGGCAGCTTTTTAAGAGCTAGGGATAAGGTTGTTTTTTTTTTTTATTTCTGTTCACAACATTTCATAAAGACACTGTGGACCAAGACAGTTGAGGGAAAGGAGAAGTGATTTCCTAACAGCTCATAGTTGGGAAACTGAAAGCGGAGGTGAGTTTTTTTTATAGCGAGACTGTTACAGGCATGCTGTTGTTGGATACCACATGGTTATTTCAATTAAACTGTTTTCTTCAAGATTTGATTTGGATATTGAGCTAAAATGCTTTAGTATCCCTGCACAATAATTCTTTCCAACATAACTCTTGTTCTGAAGATCTGCATATTAATGTTCATTTATATTTTCCCTTCCTCTTTTAATGATCAAATATGATCAAAACTTTAGTTTCATGAATTGAGAAAACAAACAGCTTAATTATACAGACAGAAGTTTAGTGGGGAGCACTGATAAATACCTTTAATCCTCCTGCATTTTTGCAAAGTACATTGTATAATGATTGCTTCTTGTTACATGTAATACTGCCACAGTAGCAGTTGGCCATTGACACAGTTTGGTGTCATCTGATGTGAAAGGCCTCTGCTTGTGACTTAGATTGGACTCAGTGGTTTTTCAGCTATCAGTATTATGAATGTGATGGCTTGTGTCTTTAACTTAATGTGACTGTATACAGTGCACAGTGTTTCCTTTCTGAGGAAAATGTGGCTCAAATAACTTTTGAGAAAACAGTTGACACAATTCAGTAACTCAACTTAACTGAGTAGTTACGTTGCTTTTAATCACATCTATTCAGTCACCTTTTTAAAACATGCTTGTAATGATATTGTATTTATCTTTCTATGTTATTTTTTATGCCTTAATACACTGTCTGTCTTAGTTTTGTAGATATTCTTGGTTAACCCTATCTTAATCTGTTTTTCAAAAAAAATCCCATTATCTTCATTGTCTGTTGGACTTTCAGATTTTATGGATCAAGAAAGTCCCCTACGTTCACAACATGATGAAGAACCGTCAGTCCTCATTGGCCGTTCACTGCTGAGGCTGCAGGATGCTGTTGTTACAGCGATGTCACACACCCGCAAGAAGGTTTTGCAGGGCTTTGTTGTCTTCTCTGTCATCTTGCTGCTCCTCTGGCTCGCTGCCTTTTTATACGGGAGCTTCTACTACTCTTACATGCCCAAGGCGGCTTTTTCGACACCTGTGCACTATTACTACAGGTGTGTAGGTGAAATGATGAGCAGCTGCATCACGAAAACACAGACTGACGTTATAGTGTGTTTTATTCCCTCTTTCTTGCTTTTACTCACACTCAGTCGTTCACATTTTTGTGTGCAGGACAGACTGTGAGTCTCCTTCCTCTTTTTTGTGCTCTTACCCAGTGGCCAACATCTCTCTTATGAGGAACAAGAAACATGTATGTATGAATGTGTGTGTGTGTGTATACGCATCTATTTATGTATCTGGTCTATGTATCTATCTCTGTCTGTGTTTCAGTCATCCATCTGTTCTATTCATATTATCATCTTTTTAAAATGTATCTTCAGGTGCTGACATTTGGCCAGGCCTATCAGATCTCTCTGCAGCTGGAGTTGCCCGAGTCCCCAACCAATCAGGAGCTGGGGATGTTCATGGTCAAGACAACCTGTTTCTCTCGGGATGGAGGCCAGATTGCTTCCTCTGCTCGTTCTGTGAGTTGCACTGAAGATTTGCTCCGCTCCTAATGGATGGCCTCATGTGTACAATCAAGTAATGCTTCATTACTAGTTCCTGCAAACTCCAGTGATTCACTGTATTGCATTGCTGTGTGTTTCTCAGGCAAGACAACTGCTGTCCACCTCCAGCTCTCGCTTTGTGAGTACAGCGCTGACGCACAATAACCTCTTAATCACAAAACCTGGTCAGAGCCAGATGAGAGCTGCTTATGCTTGCTGCAGAGCTCCACTGCAATGAGGTGATGGGATGAATATGTGAAATAATGACTGATAGAGATACACGGTGAATTCTTCTTACGGTGCATTGTAAGGTGTCCTTGAGTGCCTTGTAAGGCGCCTATATTGATAAAATGTATTATTATTATTTAGTATTAATTCAGATGTAGAGATCACTTACTTAAACACTGAGTGATCGGAAAACAGAAACCCTATTGGTGTTATAATGTAACTGGGTGCAGCAGTCCCCTAATAACACTATACTATAGAGGTGTTGATATGGTGCTTTTTGTGGTGTTTTCGTATTGGAGTGCTTTAAAATATAAGATTTTTCAAATATTCCTGCACCTCCATACTAATCAGCTTCATAAATTGGCCTGTTTGAAACACCTTTCAGTCTAATCCACTGCCACAAAGCACCACTGAAATCCGCTTTTGTTGGTGTTCATTAAACTGAGCACACAACCCTGTCACTCAGTCATCCTTTCCTAAATATTCAGCATCCCATCACTGAGAACATCTTCTGGGGATATGGTATCACACATTTGTAATGAAAGAGAAGATTAATGAATCCCCAGAGGACTGAATAAAATCATTTCTGGTAATGTGCTGCCAGGGTGACAGTGTTGTTGTGTTGTGGTCAGAGCATGCTGCGATACCGCTCAGACCTGCTGAGGACCATGGGAACGCTGCTCTTCCTCCCAGCCTTTCTGAGCGGAGCCATTGAACAGAAACAAATGCTGGAGGTGGAGCTCTTCTCCGACTTTACTGACGACCCTGTGAGTAGTACACTGCTTTGTGAGCGTGTGTACGTGTGCTGGAACAGCAAATCACCAAAATATTTTGTTTAAGTGTATCCAATAAGTTTTTCTTCATGTTCAGTATGCCCCCTCGGTCACAGCTGTCATTGAGATCCTGTCCAATAAGGTGCAGATCTACTCATCTCAGTTGTACGTTCACGCTCACTTCACTGGCATAAGGTGAGAATCATTCATATACTGCACATACCTGAGTCAAAGCATGGATTTATAACATGAAACTGAAACAGTACATAGATCCGGTTATGTTTCTCTGTTGATGAAACATGAGGAAGAAAAGTGTGAAATTCACATATTCTATAACCTACAGCTCAAAGTGAAGTCACATAGAGTTTGTTTTTCCCTGTGGATAACTGTCCAAATGTTGATTATGTGCCATCACCTTAAGACACGTGTAGTGCTCATGATTGAGAACATGTTTCAGCAGCAGTCTTATTAAACATCAGGTTTTGGTTATACTCCATTTAAAACAACTCAACACAACAGCTAACGATGATGAACAGAAACATCTTGTTGTGGAGGATGAGCGGTTGCCTCAAGAGACCAACAGCCACAACCACCAGACACTTTCTGTTTTGAGTAATAGAAAGTCACTTTTTCTTAAATAGAAAAAGTGACTCCAACTACAATCACAGCTCAAGTGCATTAAGTTCAGATGTATTCTCTATGGGTTGTTGAAGATGGCTACAGGAAATCATCTCCTGAAGTTGAAACTGAGACAAAGCTCTCATCATAGTAAAACACCTGTAATGTCAAAATGACATTTTTCTTTGTTTCTCTCTGTGTCCTTTCGTCAGATACTTGTTGTTCTACTTCCCTGTCTCATCAGCCCTGGTGGGTGTTTCCAGTAACTTCATCTTCCTCAGTGTCCTCTTCATCCTCAGCTACATGAGGCTGTTGCTGAGAGTTGAATGGAAACCAGAGCAGGCAAGAATACAGGCATATTACTACAGACAGCACTGAACTTACTGCTCACAGCGTTCTGTCTTAGACTGCATTTCATGAGTTTGTGTTTACACAAGTGTGTATTATTGCCAAAATCCTCTCAGGGGTTATAGCTCAAACTCAACTGCCTCTGATTGCTTGTTTTCCTTGTTGTTTACAGCTCAGAACAGATGGATCGGTGTCAGAGAGGGAGAACATGAACAGCAACGAGCAAGAGGATGAAAAAGATGTTGCTGCGGGTACAAAGAAATAACACAGACACACTCACAAAGGCACACAGAAATGTAATTTTATTCGAGCTATTAGCATCAGTCACTTGGTACTGACAACCTGAGTATGTTATAGTGTGTTTGACTGCAGAAACAAATTCTTTGACAGGTACTGCAGAGCTGCTGGGTCCCCTCCAGATAACCCCCACAAATCTGAGCCGGGAGAGGCCCCAATTGCACTTTGGCAACGGCACAGAGCTGCAGAACAGACACACACTTAGTCAGGTTGAAATAAATGAGACAGAGGCAGCCTGAGGACATTAATAAAGGAGAGTGAGAGAGTGCAGAGAGCGACCCTCATACTGAGATGTAATGATGATTTAAGAGCAATATGTGGTTGAAAATGACTCAG